TGGGAGACGACCGCCCCAGGCCTCATCTACATCCTATATATTCCACGATTTATACGCTTATTATTCGTCCACCCTTTCCATAGTTATGGAGAACTAAATCGACTGACGAAACTACGTACAAACGTACAGTAAAAGCTGTATATAGATGTATAGTTAGATTATAAATTAATATGTACGTTTGTGAATAATTCTGTCATAACATGACACTGCTATTTGTCTACAAAAGTATTAATGATGAAAAATGGTTAAGTAAATATTGAAAGATGCTAAAGTAATACTAAGTATTTGATTTAATTATATATATGTACTAAAGTATTACTTAAAAACCTTTCGACCCGTGCAGCTCAGATGATTCTATAAAGAAATTTAACCAAATAATAAAGTAATATATGTAATAACTAAACGATAATTTATGTATCCACACTATCATACTCTATCTTTTTCTAGTATTGTATATCGAGAAAATAAAATTTGCTTTTGCCACCATAAACTGTAAAGTAAAACATCTATTTGAGTGTACATTATTTTAAACAACAAACACCTCAATTAAAAACTACTAATAAAGAGTTTCATTTTAAGAAATGTTTAAGTAGTAGGTTTTAAGTAACTTTCAATAAGGTTTACATACTCTATATATAGAAGAAAACGGCCTCAAAACATTATATCAAACAATTGACTTACAATATTTTGTGTTTTGAATTCAATCAAAACATTAAACAATGGTCTAAAATTCCAATAACATTATATAATTAGTAAATCTAATTAAAAGTTAACATTACACCAAAAATATTACCACATTTTAATTCTATGAAAGGGAAATTCAAAGACATTAAATCCCTATATTAAAATAACTTCTATTTTAACTTCCCAACGAAAAAGGTAACAGAAATGTTTACTTTTTACTATTCACAAATAAAAATAAGAATGCTATTATCCTTTCGGCTCAGTACAGAGTTCGACAAAGCTTTTACAGTGAGCCTTATCTCACCCTTACATTCAAAACCAACCAAAATAAAACGCGAGGATCAAATAAGGCTAAAAGATAAATGAAAAAGTTATCGTTGACCTACTTTAGTATTGTTACAAAGTTTTATGTTGAGTACCCTTTTTGTTTTCAACTTTTATGGAATTTATTAGATCAAATAAATATTGATTGAAATTATTTCTGATTTATATAAGTACCTATGTATCTGTTCCCGTAAATGTATTCGATAGCAAGTATATTTTATTATTTCCTTAAAGTTATTTCCTTAAAGTTAAATAAATATTATTAAAAATCAAGTATAAAGTAACACACGATTTTGGATTAATTCCGATTTCTTCAGTTTAATCAAAAAATTGATCTTTGTTTCTTCCATTTTACCTGATTATGGTAATATGGTATGGTATGGTAATCTTAAGTTTCTCGGTATGGTAATCTTTAGTCTCAATGACAATAAGATGTAACTGAAGTCTGGACCTAAATAGTTTTTTATTTGCGCTTTAATATAAAATAAAAGACAAAAGGAATGTGTCACCCACTATTATTTATTTATAAGGATTTAAGAAACAGTCTGAAAACTTTCGCTTAAAGGATAAATATTTGTAAAATAGGGTATGTAACTGGTTAAAAAAAATATATTTATTGATGGAAAGACGCTTAAATTCACTGATAATTCAGTAAACTGAAAAGGAACAATAGTGCGTATACAGTGTTGAAACAAAGACTTTACTCTAACTTATTCAAATCCTGGACTCGTCTTATTGTTTAACTTGACAAAGATAAAAGAATAATTTACGATTAAATACATACTATAAAAATGATGGTTCAAAAACTCCATTGGTGGTATTTTAACAGTTTTCCTTCCCACTAATTTGGGCTGAATTACTGAAAATAGGAATTATTTATCATTTATAAATCTTTATAAATAATTGTTATTTTATCACATAATCTACTTTAACATTAAAAAATTTTTTTTGGTCTTTAATTTTTTTGTAGGCACATTTTTCTACTGTCGAAAAATACGTTTAAAATTTTTACTTTTGTAAAACGTACGAAATACGTAAAATATGTAGGAGGAAACTATGTACTATATAAGTAAGCAAAGTATATTTTTAAGTTGTGGGATTTTGACTTTCTTAGAAAACATAAGTTGTCTTTTGTCTTAAAAAGTCGTATAGATGGTGAAAATATTCAGACCCATCCGATCATAAAGGGTCAAGATTTTCTTTTCTTTGCCCCCCGTTCCCCTCCCTTAGTCATTTGGGGTAAAAAATTAGTAGAATCACAAATCATCCTAAACTGCCCTACCAATTTATATAATGCTAAACTGACTACATCTTGCTGGTAGGCGACAAACAAAACAAGGGACCTAAAATCTTATAATCCATACAAGATTTTTCCACAGAAACGAAAATTATATATCCTTGACTAGATACACTTCAAACTTTACGTACCCAGATACCATTCTTAAATATAATAATCATAAGAGATATATAAAAACACGTGAAGAATCCAAATTCAGTAAGACTAGTGATATAAGTCTTTTTCGGTGCCCTTTAGCGTAACAGGCTTTTTGGGTGTTGTAATATGTCAGAAGGTAAAATACTTTATTGTAATTACTGAGCTACCCATTCATAACAAATGAGGTTTATGATTCACAATCGAGTATGCTTAAGATGAAAATTACTGGATTAAAACAAGCCACTAAGGCCTTTAAAAGGGTACGAAGAAAGTCTTATCTCAAACACATTAACCATTATGGCATTCAACTGGGCAAAACGGTCGAGTAAAACTTGTGCAGACCTCACTGCATACAAAAAAGACAATTACATTCCTACTACCTAGCTGACTCTTTTACTAATGTGGTTCCTCTGTGATAGTCTTTCTTATATTAAGAAATTCTGAGATGTAAAAGTAATCTTAACTTGAATTAACCTAGGGGTCCAAAGAGAAGTTGGCGATATAGGAGTACGTGAACCCGAGTTATTTTCTATCGTGACGTAATATGTAATAATTATTATTTTTTCAAAATATGAACTCGTTTGTACATCTCGAAAACTAGGCAATGTGGTGGCTACACCAAAGAAAAGAGGCTAATCAAAGCTTGATAATTATTGTTACATTACAATAACATTTGTTTTATGTAAAATTATATTGTACGTATACATAGCCTACTTAGTTTATTATTCATGAAAAAGATTCAATATCCTCTCAGTGGCAGACATGACCATTATCACCGAACGCCATTTACAGGAAAAGTTTTTAACACGCTTAAGCGGTCGAAAGCTCTAAAAACAATGATTAAGCTCTCGCAGTTTCACTTATAATGTCGAAAGGGTCTTATTAGGTAATAAGTTTTCTAACATTTGCCTGCATTTCTAACTTTCGATGATACCTTGTACCTACTACGTAGCCACGCGTAGTTGTTAATAACTAATCTCTCTACCAATGGCGATCAAAACAGGGATTCCTCAGCAGTTTGTCTTTAAAAAAGTATTGATAAATTTTCTTTAAGTAATTTTACGACATATATTTTGTTCTAAGCTACTTCTATATTGTTGGATATCGCGACTATTTTTTTTTAATTTGACCTTTAATAAATTTGCTTCCATAAATCGATTTTCATTTAAATACTACTACTAGTAACATCATCAAGCAAAAATACAATTAACAAGATCATATAATGAGAATCTTCAACAACACGATTGTAACCAACCATTAAGAAAACATCTCTGAAACGACTACTCTACTGTACTAGAAGTACAATCTAAGTAGGTGCAGTTAATACTGACTATCTTCTTCTGCCTGGCAATTTCCCAGCTATAGCCAGGGTCTGCCTTACATGTTGTGAAAAGTTTTTGGCTATTTGTTTTTACGACCGGCCGCCTGCCTGACATCAACCCTCTTTTTGGGAATCAACATTAATTCAGTGATGCCTAAATACTCTTAGAAAGTACATATGATTCGGAAAAATCACATTGGTACTTGCCCGGGCCAGGATCGAACCCGCGCCCTCGGCGACGAGAGGCGGGCCCTTTAACCACTGAGCCACCACTGACTTGACTGACAATACTGACTATATTGATCTTAAATTAATTAACAATATTAACATTTGATAAGGCGGTCTTCCTAGAAGGAAACATCACAATTCTATAAGTTTTTTTCTCAAGGTAGATAACACTGAAAGTCTTTATATGCAGAATTATTGTAAGTGAAAACTTATTTGAATTTTATTTTTAGAACTCTTTAGTAATTTAGTATATATTGCAATCATTTGATATTTATTTTTATGAATTAGCAGCAAAACTAAAACTCTTGTTACACGTGAAAATGATCTTAGCGCGAGAAAAATTTGGGTCAATAATTTATTATGACTTTCGTTGTGGGCTTACTCAACAACAAAGCCGTGATAGACTGGATTAGCATTTCTTAATAGAGTCTCAATTTCATGGCACACAAAAAGACAATCAACTCAGTAGGTATTTCTCTTCGAGGATCGGTCAACTAAAGTGAAGAAAGGAAGAAATCAAAGAAAAAAGATGACTGCCTCATTCTTTGCTCAGAAAGATCATTTCGCGACAGCTGTAAGGACCTTTATTGCAGCAGTCTGCATAACTTTATATATATAATGCTTCTGTGAGTGTGTATGTCACTGAACTTCTCTCGAACAACTGGACCGATTTTGATGCAATTTTTTGTGCGTGTTCAAGGGGATCTGGGAATGGTTTAGATTCACAATTTTGTCCGCTGGACAATGTTTTATTTAATTATTTTTTAATTTATTAGTAGTTGTCGATACAAACGTTTTTTTTTGACATTAGATTTGACAACTAACTAATATGTCAATCTCCAAAAATATAAATAAAAAAACGTAACAGATATTTCTTGATTATAGGGCGATACGAAGTTCGCCGGGTCTTCTATTATATATATGGTATATGGTCATCTAGGTATGTATATAAATGAAACGCTTCGTAATCCACATCTTTATTATATATATTTGTGTGTGTGTGTGTGTCTAGTGTGTGCGTGCAGCGTGTTTGGGCCGTCCGTCGCGCGTGAGGTGCAGGTGCACCAGCCTCACGTGCGTGGCCAGCACGCTCGCCTGACTGAACCGCGCGCCGCACCGCACGCACCCGTACGGACGCTCGCCCGTGTGGGTGCGCACGTGCGCCTTGCAGGTCGCGTTACGCTGGACACACGAAAATTATTTATTTATTCATTTATTTTATATAAACACTTATTCCTATAAATCACATAAAATATGCAGCGAAAGAGTATTACCAATGTAAAGAATTGGTTCTCGTATAAATGGTACTCACAATTAGCCAATAGGTATTCTGAAATCCTACTAATATAAAGACTTATAAATATATTTTCTTATCTATGTGTTATCATACAATAACATACTTTTTATTGCGATCACTATATACACATCATCTTATATAAATATACATTAGGGAGAGACTGGAGCCCGTGATGGGTATAGGAATACCTGTATTACAGGTCTCCAAATACGGACATTATAAACACATTGAACCATAGCACAATCATATAGACTTTATAGAAAATAGTACTATCTAAGAGTATTTAGATATCACTATAGACGATGAAGGAATACATCGTGAGGAAATCTAGACTTATATACAGGGTGACTGGTGAGTTACTATCAATATTTAAGGAGCATATTTGGTACATGATTTTCATTCGAATTATGTAAAAAAAATAGGTACTTAATTTTTGACCAAATTTCCGTATAAATAAATAAAGTTTGGACACGTACTCAGCCTTGCCGGCGCCAGTGTGTCGCTACTCCCCAACCCCCGCCCCGTCGCTAGCGGGCCATTAGTCGGCTATTAGTCGCGCGAGCGCCGCCGTAAGGTCCGTACGTTCGTCTTCCCGCGCGCGCGCCTAGCGATCGATCTTACGCGTATACCTAATAATAATCTGTCGTGTGTGCGTGTGACCCGTTATTACTTATTAGTAATTAAATATGGCTTTTCAATACACAAATGCAGAATACTTGGACATGGTTCATGCGTATGCGCGTGCAAATGAAAGCTTGCCGGGCGCAATCAATTTGTACCGGGAGATGTTCCCCAATCGTCGAGTACCTACGGCCAGCGTCATCTTAAACGCTAATCAAAGATTACGAGACTTCGGACAGTTCCGTGTTCCAACACATGCCCAAGGAAACGTCTTGTGTATGCTACAATGTATGTAAACAGAGAGGAGTTGAAATTAAAAATCAATAGTGATTTCGAAACTATTAAAAGTGACCCATTCGTATTAAATCGTGTGAAAGACAATATGTGTAAACGTGCCGAACTGTGTATCACACGAGAAGGAGCTCACTTTGAACATTTGTTAAGGTTAGTGTAGTTATGTAGGTAAATAGGTAGTTTAATGATTGACAATTGTTGTAAATAAGTATGATTCCATTTTTAAATACGCCGGAAATACCAAGATAGGTAAACAGTTCATATTATTTTTTGTGTCAAGGTCACACCATTTACCTAGTCAATAAATTGGTTGCTTAAACGAAAGAAATATCTTGGTATTTTTGCCTGTCCTAAGCCAGGATTAAAGTATGAAGGGAAATGGATCATTTTTGTTTATCTAAGGTCTAACACGCGGCGGCGCGCGGCGTTTGGATGTAGGTAAACTACCGCGCGATAACTACATATACCTACGTACATAACTGTTTTGTGTCGATAACGCAGCTAGGGTATCCACGCGATCCGTAATTAATTACATAACTTTTGGTTAACTTTACTTAGAAGTTTATTAATATTTATGTTATATTAATTTTTATTTTGTCATATATGATCGTCAACTACCACGTCCTAAAATATTGATAGTAACTCACCAGTCACCCTGTATATTTCAAATTATAAACATGAAATCGCCAACCGGCCTTGAGCAAGCGTGGTGATTAATGCTCAATGACTCAATGGCCTTTGCTAAGCAGCGGGCTCTGATAGGCTGATGATGATAGTAAATAAGAAATCTAGGTTAAGAAGAAATCTTAGTGTAAGTGTCGTTATAATAAACTCACGTCAAATATCTTATCACAGTATGGACAGGGGAACTTCAGCGGCCTCTTGCGGCCGTCGTGCGCGTAACTCTTGTGCTCTCTCAAAGACCAACCGTTTATGTAGGCCTGGATGATGATTATATAAAATATTATATACTACAATATTCACAATAACATAAATAATTGACAAAATATAGTTCTCATATTATACATATATTAAATTAACATTCAGGAGCGTGCATAGATTTGGTGTAGAATAAGCAGGATATGGTTGATAAAAAATCTAATTTTCATAATAATATCCTCCTCTAAAACACTAAGACTCTTGAACGCTAACCAATGCATAGTTATTGCACACACACATACAAACATTTCCTGCATAAAACACGAGATTAGTAGATAGTCTTTGAGATTATTTGTATTGAAAATAAGCACAGAGTGTTTGTGCATACCACCGCTCTGGCTGCATAGGCGCTAGTAGTTAGAAGCGGTCAATCGAAAATGTTTCGTTTTTACATTGATAGATGGCACTTATTAACAAATCGTGAATCAAATGTATTGTAAATGTCTGTTAACATTTGTATTTCGTAATGTATGATTAAAATTATGTAAGTAAGAATTAAACAATATCGGTTTAGTTTGTATATTCAGTGCTTATTTGCATGTATGGTGTGCACGCTACTGTTAACATTATATGTTTCCTATACAAGTTCTTCTACCTGACAATTTCCCAGCTTTAGCTAGGGTCTGCCTATACAAGTTATGTATTTATACCTTATCACATTTGTCACACTGATGAGGCTTGATGTTGAGGTGTACCCTGTTCACGTGTCGCTCTAAGTCTCTTCTGATGCTGAACCTCTTGTCACAGTGAGTACACTTCAGTCTGTAACATATATTATACATAATACTATATATATTTATATAAATGTATATATTAAATCCATGTTTGTGTCATTCTCACGGTAGTTCCATGTAGTTGACGTGAGGTAGCGCCACTTTAAGGTGTTGTTTCAGTGCTGCATCCGATTTGAAACTCCTGAAATAGATGTCTCTGTTTAAACTCACCATCATACATATATATTCCAATGGAAGGAAAATTATATGAACATATATGTATGTATATACAGCACGTATATTCAATTTCAATTTTCTCCTAATTTACATTTTCTATAAGACATTACAATTGGGCAATAAGACCGCCTTTTGTATCTCACTGTATTCAATATTTATCATATACCTTACTTCTTTTTTCATATTTTTTTAATATAATTTTAAATACAGTATGATTAAATAAATGCTAATAAACTATGATAGAATATTAGATTCTACCCTCAAAACATCAGTAAACCAATTCTACCTTGTTGTAATCATCACCTGTCACACTCCACACAGTAGAAGTTCCTGTTGTCGGAGTGTTTGATCATGTGGTTCCTGAGTTGGGAGGGCGCGCGGAACCCGAGCCCGCACTCAGCGCACACGTGCTGCGGCGCTGACGTGGACGACACCTCGGATGGGTGGGCACTGGGGTAACACACACACATTTATATATGAAACTAGCTGCGAACCGCGGTGTTACCCGCGGATTTCCGGGATGTAAAGTAGCCTATGTGTTATTCCTCGACAGTCAGCTTCCTGTATACAAAATTTTATCAAAATCGGTTCAGACGTTTGAGCGTGAAGAAGTAACAAACATACACACACACCCACAAACTTTCGCAATTATAATATTAGTAGGATATACATATTATAAGTTTATCTCAGAAGTGTGCTTATTAAGTGTGTTAATACAATAGTATAGTAATCGATGAGTAGCGACATCTAGTGTCTGTTACATAACAAATCTATGAACGAATTCCTCACCAAAATTACTTTTCTTTAATTCTATCTACAATCTATATGATGTTAATATTCCATGTTATAAGTGTGTGTACCAACCGTATGAGATGTCCTTTGAGCACCTCCTTGTTCGCGTAACTCTTGTGACAGTAGCTGCACGTAGATCGACCTCGGTTGATGTGAGAGTACGAAATGTGCTTTTTTAACGAGATCTGACGTCTGGAAGGCAATATTAGGATGTTAGAAATATATATTATCGTGTAATACAGTAATGTACAGGTCTGAATAACTCTATCTACATTATAAGTAAGTCTATAAGTGAATATACAGGGTGACTGGTGAATTACTATCGATACTTGAGGACGTGATATTTGACGATCATATATGACAAAATAAAAATTAATATAACATAAATATTAATAAACTTCTAAGTAAAGTTAACCAAAAGTTATGTAATTATTTACGCATCGTGTGAACACCCTACAGATTAGGTGTACACACACACACATACGCGTGCGGCGGCGTGTTGTTGTATCAGCACGCCGCCGCACGCGTCCACACTTAGAAAACTTGGAACGTGTCAACACTTTATTTATTTATACGGAAATTTTGTCAAAAATTAAGTGCCTATTTTTTTTACATAATTCGAATGAGAATCATGGACCGAGTACTCTCCTAAAATATTGATAGTAATTCACCAGTCACCCTGTACTAATTCAACATAATGTTATATATCAAGGCAAAATACTTATTTTATAATCCGAATGAGAATGGAACATATAAAATTTTGTGAACACCATTTCTCAATAAAATAATAAAGCATGAAAAATATAACAATATAGTACATATATACGAACTGATGTAAAATTTTTGGGTTGTATGTATTTAATGAAACATTTAAAAAAAAAATAAAAACAAAAATTTGGTCCAAACATTTAAAGAAAATATTGAGGTGTGAACAACCCTTATGACTTAGGGATATGAAAAATAGATGTTGGCCGATTCTCAGTACTACTCAATATGCTCATAAAATGTCATGAAGTACGTTCATCAAGTACGGGAACGAACATTGTGACACAAGAATTTTATATATAAGATGGAACAAACATATTTATAGAACTTTAATCAACGCGGTTTGGGACGCGATGGCTCATTTGTCAAAGCAACTATGACGTCACACGGATGGGTCCTAGGTTCGTGTGTATGTATGTGTGTGTGTGTGTAACTCACTTAAAGGTCTTGTCGCACTGTGGACACTTGTAGTGGAAGCTGTCCTGCATGTGGCAGGCCCTGTAGTGGTCGGTAATGGTGAGCCGGCTGATCCGGACCAGCTCACACGCCGTGCACTTGTACCGACTGGCTCATACGAACATATATTATTGACATAAAAAATAAGTCGGTACAGCTACATTGCCAGATATAACTTATTATTAAAATCTTAACAATATTTAAGTATCATCCATGAATGTAAATATAGTTATCGAATACTGAATATAATAGAAAAAAATAACTAACTTACTAATAACACTTCTATGATAGTTTATGTAACAATATTTTGTGCGAAAGGTCACAGTAATATGGAGAAATATCATATATATAAGACACTAACATTTATTCTTATTTCATAATTAACTGTTCATATAATAAATGAATAGCTTAAAAATCACATTTTCATATTGTACTTACATATAAAACTAAAAATTACTTATATTAATAACTTATTTTATCAGTTGTTCAACTCACATCTTGTGATACTTCTGATGGCTGAGCAGCTTCTCCATGGTGGACATTCTTTGTTTACAGACGTCACACTCAAACTCACCCATGGTCTGAAACAGATTAATTTCAATTGAAAACTTTCATCATATATACACTATAGTAAAATTTAATATATCCGATTATATATTCGGATTGGACTATAATGATGGATACGTATGAGACACATTAAAAAATAGCAGACGATATTAATTGTACGTCGGCCTCCAGACCAGACATATTTATGTATTCGCGAATTTGTAAGCTCATTGTGTTAATAGAGCTTACGGTTCCTTGGGTAGGCATTAGAAGTGGGAGAAAGAGGTATTACGACTAATTCTCTCTAGAGCCTAAGTAGTCTAAAAGATTTGGGCCTTAAAAATTTCATTCTTTGATCGTACTTCGAAGCTAGCCCTAGTAGGTTCTTTTCAAATTTGGTTTGGTAGAGAGAGGAGTTTGGAGAGTGAAGGTGAGCATTTAACACACGTTAGATAGGGTTCCCTTAAACCTACACCTGGGTCACAAGTCCCAGTCACTGTTGAAGCTCCTCTCCCTACAACGATGGACCCGACACACGCACGATGAATACATTGAATGATGAGAAGTGTCCTCTCACATTACCTTACTGTGTTTCAGCATGTGTTTGTCATATGACTCTTTGAATATGAATCCTTTTATACAGTCCACACATCTGTACACACTATTCACATATTTGGGATCCTTCATCATATTCTGTTTCTCCTCATCAAACTGTTCCTTTGTTATATGTAGTACTGTCACAAAGCAGTCTGGAACATTAGAAATTTTAGCTAGTTAAATGAAGAAATTTTTGGGGATGAATGGATGTTTGTTGATTTTTCAGGCAAAAACTACTTTCTTGTTGTTGAATAAATTTTGCAAAAATGTAGTTTAAGTATCAGAATAACACATGCTGATATAGTTAATTTTTAAAAGTTGTATGAAGTCATATGACTCTATAGTACATTTCTTTTTTTTTAACAGCATTAATTTCTTTCTGAGCCCAATTCTAAATGATATACAGGAAAAGTCATGGGCGAAAACTACTTCATGACAACCCAACCAAACTTATACGACTTTTAAAATATGCTTTTATAATCTTTTATCCATAAAAATGAAATATCAATGATTTTTTTTTCAAAGTTGCAAAAAAAGAATCAAGTGTTTGAATTATCAAATCTGTCTAGATCTAGACAATTGATAAATTATGTGTTATTGAACTTATGTATATCTGAGTAATGTGAAATTATCAATATTATACTTCCTGAATTCTTGAATACTTATAAATTAATACCATATTGAGACAATGCCTCACCTTTACTTTTATGTTTCTTGCTATTTTTATAAATATCAGACTTTCTATTTTCCAGATTTTTCTTCTCTTTCAACTGTTTACTTAATAATTTTAAATTAATATTCTCCAAAAAATCAGATTCCTCTTTCATTGCATCATGTAAAGCATCATCTTCCTCTTTCAAATTTGACTGTTGAAATTCTAAAAAAATTTAAAACATACAATTCAGACAACTAATAGAAGTTTTTAAAAAAACTAAGAAATTAATTATAATAATATTTATCATAACATTACCACTATCACCGATGACTTCTTCTAAATTTTCTGTTGTTAGTTCATTTTTCAATTCAACCTTAATTTTAATATCCTTACTGCTAAATATCTCAGAGTCTGTTTCTTCTAAATATTTACTCTCCCTACTGTCCAATGAATGTAACTTCTCCTTTGATAAATTCACTAATGGCACAATTTTGTTTCCGTCTGCAACTGTCGAGTCTGCAATCTATAATAATATGTTAATGACTAATATATATTTTATGAATGAGTTTTACTTAGATACTTACAATTTCTGCTCTCCCAAACTGAAACTGGTTACTTTGTACGTTATGAACAAATCTCTCCACATTAAATGCTATTTTCTTGCATATATAACACAACCATATAGTTTCCTGAAGTAAAAAATATATATAATATTCATTTCTACTAAGACAGTTTAGCTTTACTCTATGTAATAAAATAGTAAATGCTTTTTTAAGTTTTATTTAAACTGTTAATACATTATATTAGTTTTATTTCATTTTATAATTTATAATTCTATCTAATTCTTTATAATTTGCTAAGAAATGATACCTTTATTATGGCACTAAGAGTTCCATTATGAAATTTAAAATTGTCTAATTCTCTCTCTGAATCATGACATAAACAGGCAAAGCAGTAACTATATTTTTTATTGTGTGGGGCCATTTTATACGCTGGAACTAATTTACTAGCTTTTCATTTAATAAAGCTTTAATTACTTTGCGAAGTGCAATCATTGAATTTGTTGATACATCGAATACTTCAACGCTTCGATGACATCTACAGTCTACTGACAGATTATATTCGTTTTGAAGTTCTACATTGACTTTTAAACTTCTAGTTATCATTATCGCAGATTTATATAAAACTCAAAAAATCTATATTTAATGCAACTAATTTAAAGACTTAAATGCTAATTTATTTCTAAAATTACATAGGTAAGTTAAAAGTTTTTGAAATTATTGAATGTTAATAATAAGGAAACAAAAAAAATATCTAATCAACTTCTATACACAACAAAAAGTTTTTAAAGAAAAGATTTGAGTCGAATATAAATTATGTATAGTTAAGGAACTAATTACTAAGACTATCTTTAACACACTGATTTTAATACTAATACAATATTTCGATATTATTACAAATGCTAACCAGGACAGTCTTATTCTCATTAAAACAATGTTTATTATCTAAATCAGGGCTGTCCAAGCCATGGCCCGCCGGCCGCATTATTGCGGCCCGCAGAATCTTTTTTATATATTCTTTGTTTAAAAACATTAATTATTTTTATCACGATGAAATTCAAATTTGTTAAAGGATATGTTCGATCACGTCGCCCACATAATTTTTTTGGACCACCTCAAATACATAGACGAAATAGTCATCGAATTCGAGCGGCGTTTTGCAGATTTTCAAAAAATTTTGAGTCATATAGCACTCTTCACTAATCCATTAACTATTTAGACCAGTGCCGATAGCTTTTAAAACATAATTAAATTATAGTAAAATGAAACTCATTACAAAAGGAAGGGAATATTATAAAATTTAAAGGAAAATAATTTACGGGCGATCTGAGGTCGGGAAGGGTATGGGTGTTTAAGGGTAAAAAATTGGTTTTCTCGATTTCCGGAAAAACTAAGAGTCTTAATGAAATATATTATATGGCAAACTTGTAGGTAATAAAAAGATCTAAACCTTTTGTACTAACATGTTTTCACATAACCTCAAAATTTATGTGAAAAATTCGAAAAACCAAGTTTTTGGTTTTTTATTTTTATCTCTTACAAAAAACAATATTTTGTCACGAAATTTGGTGAAAACTTTCCTTTTGATGTTACAAATACACTGTAATTTATTTGATTAGAAATATTTATTTTTTCAGCTTATCTTCTATATATATAAAAATGGATTGCTGTTCCTTAGTCTCGCTAAAACTCGAGAACAGCTGAACGGATTTGTCTTATCTTAGTCTTGAAATGTTCGTGGAGGTTCAGGGAAGGTATAAAAGGTGAGAAAAATTGAAATAATTGCCGGGAAAACCCTACAAACAGCCCTTTTCTATTTCCCATACAAACGCTTTTTTGACATTAGATTTGACATCTAACTAATATGTCAATCATTCTGTTTGATTGAAACAGGAAAAACCTGATTATTTATGGCCTCTAAGACGGAATAGAGTTCGCCTGGTCAGCTATACATATATTACCAATGACGAAACTAACGCGGACGAAGTCGCGGGCAAAAACTAGTTTTGAATAAATACCGAAAAATCGGAGTCATTTTCAATAGAAAAATCACCCGTCAAAATATCAGCTATTTTCAAAGATTTTGTATGTTTTCAATTTGTTGAAATCTCTATTTTCCGATGGTGAAGGAAAAAATATAAATTTCTTACTTGCCGTACCATTTTTGGATAAAATAATCATGTCCCTTTTAATGAAATGACACTCGACATCGTTTTGAAAATGCTCTTTCTAATTTATTTTTCATAGTTGTGTCCTATGGAAGTTCTTCAGATAATCCCTCTTTTAGGTAATTTACATAAAATTGACATTAAGCTGCTAAAACTATTAACAACACACCCCCATACCCTTCCCGACCTCAGATCGCCCGTAAATTATTTTTCCTTTAAATTTTATAATATTCCCCTCCTTTTCTAATGGGTTTCATTCTACTATAATTTATTTTCACTTTTCATCATTTTCAGAGGCATCTGCACTGGCCTAATTGCAGTTGAGAGTGTGAAGATTGATTATCTACTGTGTTTATTGATTATTAAACTGTGTTTATTGATTATTAAACTGTGTTTATTGATTATTATATATTGATTATTATACTGTGTGATCTGCAATCAGACCCCTTTTACAAGGGCAGAACAGAAACAGGGATAGATTTTTTAAGCTCTTCTCTGAACGTTTCCCGAAACTGGCGAATTTCGGGCAAAAAATGGGATGGATGATGGGCAGTACCTATGTTTGTGAGAGTGCATATTCAACAATGAAGCAAATTAAACCGAAATACAGGTCTTTAATGACAGATACTTTACTTAAAGATGCACTGCGCCTAGTTAATATTGAGGTTGATATTGACTGACAAAATTATAAAAGACAAATTAATGGAAATTTAGTTAATAAAATTACGATATTATTATTATGAGCATTTTATTTTTATAAATATTTTGCGGCCCACCAATGCATTTAATCAATTTTATTGGCCCTTGGTCCCATCTAGTTTGGACACCCCTGGTGTAACTGAATATATTATGGTATGATCTTCACCATAATATACGTTTCAGAATAGAGTTTGTTTTATAGGGAGGATTGAACAAAACTGTCACGAATTGATTTTGATGGAATCACCGGGGGGTCGGAAGGTTTCTGGGAGTATCTCCATTCATCTATACAACAATGAACATATAGATGTACAACAATACACATACATGCTTGCTAGTGTTATTATAAATTAAAAAAACTTTAAAACACTAGCTAAGAGTTAGTTAACGCAATAAGAAATATCTGACTTTAGTCAAAGTCAATTGTAAATAAATATAAAACTACACCAAAGTCTCATTAATAAGTCAATCAAAGAAAACTCCTTTTAAAACAATATAGTTATTATTATATTATTATTTATTCTATGTAGTGGAGCCATCTTCCTTTCGGTTGCAGTTCTTCACGTGAACTGTCAACGTCATCTTCGATGAGAATGATTTATCACATTCATGACATCTGTACTTGCTTGTTATATGACACCTGGAACAAAATACACGCATTTGTATGAAATAATGACAAGTTGTGTTTATTTAAGAACTTAAATAAACAAATGATTGCTTTGTTGGACGTTAGTCACAGGCAATGAAATGCTAAAGTTTATGCATTTTTAAAACGAGACATATTTAAGCTATAAGTAAATATCGTCTGTACATATAAGTCTGTCTTAAATAGCGTTTATATTATAATATGAGTGTTTGTTGCTTGTTACCTTTGTATATGTTTCTGTAGACTAGCGTCCTTAGCGAACATCTTGTCACACATGGAACATAAAAACGTCTTCCCTTTGTGTGTCTGTTCGTGGTTCTTGAGAGTATATTTTTTTGGGAACGACTTGTTACATGTACTGGAAGAAAAGATACAAATAAACTTATTTCACTCCACATTAAAGTAACACCTTCAAGTCCACATAGAAAATATATACAAGATAATGTATTTGGCAAAGTAACTAATATTGAAGTCCATAAATGCAATAACTTTCCTGTAACAATATATATATTTCGCTTCCCAATTTTTTGAGCCACTATTGTCTTGCTCTACCTATATCATACAGTACTTATACAACACACTAATAATTTTAATATTAATATCTATACAACATACCCACAGACATACGGCTTTATATTCAAGTGAACGGCTCTCTTGTGAACTTTCAACTGTTGGGAATCCTTCAAGACTTTGCCACAAACATCGCATAAATTTGATTTCTTTATAACCAGTCCGTGCTTATCCTACAATTATAGAGATATGGCTTTTCTTACAACTGGTTTCTTTATATTTATGACTGTTTTTGATTGAAATGGATGGAAAACATTACTTGAAAATTCTTTATCTCTAGAAGTATATGATAATATCTAACAACTACTTGTTTTCGTTAATTTTATACAAGAACATGCAATTTTCTGCCATAATATCTTGATTTATTGTAAAAAAAATACGGGCAGAATTTAAAATTTTGGGTTTTACCTTTAAATGCAAATTTAAACTATTCTTGGAGTCACAGGGATATTCACATTGCTTGCAAACCCACGGCTTACGAACAGATGACTGCGGATGTACGTTGCTTCGATGTGTTGTTAGATATCTAATACAATGATATTTTATAGTGAATCCAACGAAACAACATAAATTTTGTAAATAAACTTATTAAGTCACGTAAACTTGATATATAAACTATTATAATTCCTATATTATATAATTAAGGTATTATGCTGATATAATTTATAGTTTGTTTCCTCTGGCTTTACTTGTTAGGGAAATCAATAACTATTTGAAGGCACACATTTTTTTCTTTTAAATTTATGACTTGAAATATTTGGTCACATTTAGTCCATTGTCCATTTAGGTGGCTACTATAAAAAAAAACTTAAGTCTAACTCATAATAATATTTAGTATTGCTTTTAAAACCACAAAAGTTCTCTTTATGATATAACTTGATATAATTAAATTACCGATGCAAATGGAAGCTCATGCCGCAGATATGACACTTGAAGGGCTTGACTCCATCATGAATGTTCTGATGCTGCTGGTACCATGACCTCACTTGGAATCCCTTTCCGCATGTCTCACATTTATACTGGAAAAGATATATAATAGATTAACACAACCAAAAATCTTACCTCCACTACCAACATCAAACAGAAGTGTCTGTAATGAGATCTAAGACTTTCGCGAGTATTCATATAAATGAAATTAATATTTTCGGATTGAATCGCGTATTTTATTGTTTTTAAAAACTACATACTCCCGACGTTCGGTTACTTTGCAGCAACTGAAAAATATTAGTTTCATTTAGAAGTGATTGTGTTGGGAAAGAAAATATGTTGGTGGGCTTTGCCAGCAAATCACAGCTGGTAAGGCAATGAGTAAAAGAAAAAACAGACTTGGGTAACATCGTACCATTTCGCGACTGAAAGATATGTATCAATAATTTTAGGGGATTAATTACACTAAAAAATCATGTGAAAAACACAATACAGTGTCAAGTTTTCATAATGACATAACATCCTCTAGCTTTCAATACCTTACATAATTACCCCAAGTTTAAAAAAAAAATACATTTCTACACTAAATCTACTTACAGAATTTTCTTTGATCTTGTGTATTCAGAAAAGATTTTCTGGCCATTAAAGTCTGAGTTATTTGAAAACAATTTAGTAAATGGGGGCCTTTCTTATGTGAATTATTTACTTGTACTTGTATTTAATATTCAGAAGTAAAAATAGGTTTAGATATCCAAGCTCATAGATATCAAATGGTACTTAATGGTGTGGTTTTGGTTGAGGCATAATCAAATGTTATCTTATAAAAGCAAATACGCTCAAGATTCCTAAGACTCAAAATTGACGAGTTCATCTTTTACATTTTCTATTATATGTTTGTTACAACTCGACTCACCTTAAATTCTCCTTTGTGTCCCTTCTCATGATTTTTCACAACATGTTTGTGTACAGACTGGTAGCCACAGTTGTATGAACATGCATATATGTCTCCTGTGTGTATCTTACCATGGGATACTATTATTGATGCTGTTTGATAAGTTTTACCTAGAAATAGAATTTAAGAAAGAATTTTAAAAGGTTTTGTTTATAAAAAAAATTGAGGATACTAAAGTATTTAAAGTATTAGAATAATTGATCTATACTTGCTAATCAGTTATTAAAATTCTATAACTCATTGCCTAAAAGAAATATAGTATACTATTGTGAACTATTCTGCTTAATATACATCTATATATTTTTAGATATATCTATGAGAACTAATAACAAAATAAATGATCCAACTTTAAATCTTTACCACATAACTTGCAGAGGAATGGTCTTCTTTCAATATGACTCAATACATGTCTATTTATATATGATTTCTGTCGATACTTCTTGCAACACCTCTCACATTTGTAATATAATCCGTTATCATCTGTGAATGTATTATATTTCACAGGTTTACTTTCAATGTCTGTATTGTTCTTGTTATATTTCTCTAATTCAACATTCTGGTAGTGCCTCAAAAGTTCCAATTGATTTGGAAACACTTCGAAACATGTTAAACATGAAAATCTCTTTGTTTCATCTAGTTTTATTACATTTGATGTTATTTTATTAATATCTTTGTCTACTATTTTGTTTTCTATTTCTGTTTTGACTGGACATAATTCAATTTTATTTTTCTCTATTACTTCTTCATGTAATTCTGGTATATTTTTTACATTTTCTTTTGTATTTTCTGATTTAATTTTAACATTCTTCACTTGATCTATAGATGCTTCTTCATCTAATATTTGATCTTCTATTTTTATTTCGTTGACATTAACAATTTCACAATGAATTATAATATTATTTAATTCTTGTTGTAATTTTATCTCATTTTGTCTTATAAATTGTTGATATTTATATATATCTTCTATTTTTGCGACACAATTATGGCATATTTGGTTGGGTAGATCTTTATTTATTATTACCTGAATATAAACAATTTTTTAACTTAACTATTATCTTAGAAACAATTTAAAAGTTTGTTTTACAATATAATACATGTAATATATAGATACTAAGTTATTTGTAGCGTTTGAAACTGTATTTAAAAACCTTACATGGTGCCCCAGACAGGTAAACAATTGTTCCAAAATTTTACATCCTTCCCACAATTCTTCCATATTATTAGACGATACCTTTAAACACAATCTACACTTGCATTCATACATTCTACTACACACCACTTTACATGTATATCACACAAAAATAACTAAAATTAAATTTATTTATGACAACGAAACATCATAAAAGCTTTTTGTTACAAAATAAACAAACACATGAAAGTCACAACTTTTTGACAACTTTAAAGATTTTTCTATAATGGTATCCCTGGCTCCTGGTATCAAAGTGAATTTCATACAATCTTAACATGTCGATAGAATATAATGGTTAAAAATGAATACAAGGAATATTTGTGTATACTACAAATTTAAGTGTAATACTTTAAAAAGTTTTCTTTATATTTCAAAATTTTGCGTATTAATATCTTGCTAGGTGAAAAAAATTTTTTACAAAATTACTTAAAGCTAACGAGTCCACTCACTAAAGCTGTTGATCTGTTATGAGACGTTGTTTACGTATTGTTACATGAAATGTATATATTATACAAAATTAATTTTCAATTAATTATAATTTGTAAGTTTAAGGACAACGCATATATCATACATATATAGTTTAAAAATATATTTAAAGTCACTATGACATCCAGATTACAAAGTTAACCAGTTTTTCGTATTCAAAATATTATACAGTTGTTGCCTTTTATTAAAAGTGTTGTTCAAAACATAATATAATATTGTTAACATATTTCATTATAAAGAATGAATTGTAACAGAATGCAATCAATATTAAAACCTCATTAGGTAAATTTCATATTAAAACATGATATATTTTCTTAGTAGATAGAGCACAAAGGTCCCAGGATCGATCTCTTAATAGGTACTTATGTTACAGTTAATAGCTTTGTACACCACATTAAAGCGTCCCAAGTCTTTCGGGATCGTTAATTTAAAATATAGATTTGTTTATAGAGATAAATGATGGAAGACGAAAGTAATAACTAGCATAAGCAGACCTTTTGTAGTTATTACTTTGTTATAAATCTAAAATGAGTAACTTTGTAATAAATGTAAGATGAATTTTTTTGGAGAAAAATTAGTAATTCTGTCTATAAAATTGCTTTTTCCAAATGTAATTAAACGAAGTACTAATATCTTAATGTATTTTATCAGCTAATGTTTTGAGAGGACATATTTGTTTTCAAAACTGTGGTTCAACATCTGATAAGTTGGATATTCCGTTTAGTGTCCATTCCCAGGATATTTCAATGAGTCATAACTCAGTAGCGTGCTGTAACATTTAACTTATCTATATATTAGTCAGCTGTTTTTTTTATTTTATGTATTTTAACTTCAATGAATTGTATGAGGTAATAATAATATAATGTGTTTTTCGTAGTACTCATAGGAATTAGGTTTAGATTTCAATACGCGAGAATCATGGTAGATTTTTAATTTTCTATTCCTACATATCACTGTTTCCTTTTGAGAGCTTAGTCTAAGTTTGTTACGTCATACTTCATACGAAGAGTTTCCCGTTTGTTATTCAATAAGCTACATTAATACTATTACGTGTAAAGGTTTATAATTAAAAAACTGCCAAAGCTCTGTATATGATACCGAATTGGACTAAGCATATTGTTTTATCTGCATAATTTCATACCTAGTTTATAAGAAGTGCCATTCTTTACTTTTACTAAAACATACATAGAAGTATTTTAATTTCTTAAAATTATTCTATTGAATTAATATTGGGGTATATTTTTAATTTAAAACAGTTATAAAGTTGTTACAAGTGTTGAAGCAGATTGTCTTAATGTGTAGTTTCGTGTGATAGGGCTTGGCTAAATTCGTGTTAAATAAAAGCTTGATTCCTAATTAAATTGATTAAGACCTAAATATATTGGTTTTGTACACATTTCACTCTAGAATCAATATGGTACATCATGTAGAGAATATCATTAGTATATAGTCAGTGGTGAGCTAGTGGTTAAAGGCCCGCCTGTCGTGGATGAGGGCGCGGGTTCGATCCTGGCAAGTACCAATGTGATTTTTCCGAGTCATATGTACTTCCTAAGAGTATTTAGACACCACTGACATACGGCAAAGGAAAACATCGTGAGGAAACTTGGATTTATAATTATACAATTAAAGGTTTAAAATCACTAACCCGTCTTGAGCAAGCGTGGTGATTAATGATCATACCTTCTCCATGTGAGAAAGAGGCCTTTGCTCAGTAGTGAGCTCTGATAGGCTGATGACGACGTATATAGTTATGCAGTATTTATTTTGAGGAACATTTGTTTCACTCCAGTTTAAATATAATTTTTTTTTTTTTGATTACTTAGTGGAAACTCTTTTTACGAGCCGTCCAACCGGCCTTGGTGGGGCCGGAAGGGATGTGTGAGGCTCGGCCTGGCCAGGCCCCTACTCACTAAAACCACTGCGAAAGCCATCGGCCGCTATGTCGGTGTACCCCGGATCTGTCAGCGACAGGGCACACCAGCGACTGGCCGGTCCTGGCAAAGACCGGACTTACTCCCTCGGAGAATGGGGGCGATCCCGGCAATTAGGACCACCCCGACGACGCCGGGCTTTCAATAGGGCCGGGTTACCACGCCGACCCCAGTTTAAATATAATATAATTTATATAACGAATACCAAAAATGTATCGAGAAGAGCTTCCCAATTCACCCTTTGAATGTGGATTTACTAGAAGACCGTTATTTTAATAATAGAACTTAAAATTCTCAGTTAAAAATAAAAAAATTGACAGAAAAGCGAAACGTCAAAAATCACTCCATTATTTTGAAATATATACTTAAATCTTTTATTGAAATTGAATGCTTTCTATTTAGTTTTATATATGAACTAGAGGCAAGGGAACGATATAATTTTATCAAATTACTATTTTTATGATCTTTTATACTCCATTTTATATTCACAACTTTCCAATACATCACTATATCATTAACGATATTACTTTTTAATTTTGGTTCTGACAAAATCTACTATTTTATATTTGTTTCAGTCTCCATCTTTCGTTGAAGGTTCTGGTATATAAAACTTAATTCTGATCGTAACTAAAAAACTTTTAAAGGGTTGCCAAAAACTCACTAAATTCCATTGTTGTTACTAAAATTATGTAAATTTCAAATGCAGGGCCTGTTTGATTAACAAACTAAAACGGACCCAGATACATAATTATTATTATATAATATGTATTTATTGAACTTGACCATGTATTTATACATTTAGGATACTTTAATGTTCAGGATAAGGTAATACGTAAATGTGAATCATGAAATATTTAAGGGTAGGATGATAAGATATAATTATTTCGCTTATGTTAATCTGTTTGTTGAATGCTGTTCGATAGTATTCAACAAAATGGAAAGCTACTTCCTTTGATAACTGCGCCCTCGCATCCCGTCCACAGATTATTTAAAAGAAGGTACAATACAATTATATTTATTAATAAATTTTTATAATTTTATGTACCACATATATATTATATCATTTTTTTTTAATAAGCTGCAGTAAAACACAGGTATATTTTTTTATCCTGCCATACGTCATTATTTTAAATAAAATTTTAAACCTCCACATTATTTATTAAGCATAAAAATATAAGTGATACTTAATTATTATTTAAAATATATATATATATATATATAAAATGACTAAAATATTTTTATCCTCTATACATTGATATGTTATCGTAAAGCTATTTCCAGTCTATTATTTGTGCTGTTGACAATTGTTTTTTTTTAATGTCACATCTGCCTCGGACTCTTTAAATTGCAAGTTTTATGAAACACGATTTCGGCATACTGTAAAATGAGTCGTCCTCAGAGTCTGTGCTAGTATTAAAATTATTATTTAAAAATATATATATTTTGTTTTAAGTGTTAATAAATAATAATGTTTTATAAGTGTTTGTTGTTTTTGCTTTTGGGCGCACTGAACGCTTCGAGGGGTTTGTTTTTTATTTTATTTTTTATATTATACTTGAAAACAGATGCTTTTATTATATTTTGGTAATTATTAATACTAATATAATTTACGTATTTGTTTTATTGTATTTACATGTTGATTTTTGCTGTAAATTATTTTTATTTTTTAAATAAATTTGAAAAAACCTCAGCAATTTCAATTCAATTGAATTAATTTTAAATAAAATTAATCTCTCTTTTGTCTAAGTTAGTAAGGATTTTAGTTATTAATAAACTGCCAAGAACTTCTTCTATGTGCTTAACTATAACATTAAGATTATAAGAAATATTTTTAACAGTTCTTGACACGTGAAGACGTTACTTTTAGAAAAAATAGCACAAATAAATTTATTTTTAGTTTCAGAAATATTATTATTCAGATTCACAACTCAGTTATTCCGTTGTATTGTTCATTATAATTATTTCGTTTTCAGTTGTAAGATTAGTAAGAAGCACATGACAAATAACTAATAAGATTTTTGTCAGAAGTAAAATGTAATTAATAATTGGGTAAAATCATAAATAAATGTTTATTCATAGTTAATCGTGTTATAATATACTATATGTTTATCACCCGGACGCACGCGCTCTTGAAGTGTCCTCGTGGACTTCCTGTGTGGTGTGGGTGTACCTTTACTGACCTCTATCAGAATATATCGTGTGTGGGAAAATTTAAATAAATTAATAATTACTTTGTTTTAAACGAGTCGATTACTAATTTAATATAATTACTTAAAGTTATAGTTTTTTTTTTAATTTTTAGGTACTCCTCATTTTAATTTTTGTACTTTTAAAACTGCTTTCATTATGCACGATGTTTTGAAGTAGGGACTAATAAGATTAAGAATAGTCATTTTATAATACAAGTAACCGTTTTAGTTATATTAAACAAGCATTTGGTATAGGTATGATAATGAGCAGAAGTCTTTATACCTAAATAAATGTATATTTATAATACTTATATAGATATATATTTTTTCTTTAATAGGTTTTTAAATGTTCGAACAACTCGTGGTGTTTCTTTGGCAGAATAGAATGAACGCAAAGGTTCTAGGGTCCCAAAGATAAATTATTATTTTGTTTACTTTTTAAACTGGTTTATGCATAGTAAAACTTGTAAAATTTATTCTATGAAGACAAAAAGAGCGCATGAATTCTTTAAAAAAACAAAGTCTATTTTATTGAATACATACTCGTAAATCCATATGTAATTTGCCCAAAATTTAAATATTATAATCATTGATTTATCCTTAATTCAGTTTACCGGTTGATTTTAATGTAATTAATAGCAGCGGTTTTGCTTTTTCCTTATAGATAAATATAACAATTAGCGAAATTATTTGATTGCAATTTTCCCACCATACACGTGCTTACAATATAAATGAATGTTTCCTTTTAATATAACAATATTAATATGAAAAACATAATGTAAGTGATCTGTGTAACTGTGGAATTCTTTCAGATAACTGGCGAAGTTCATCATCGTCTTCATCATCATCTTGTACTCTGCCCGAGTTGAAGCATGGCCGGGTCGTAGTGAGAGGGTATCGTGGGAAACTCATCAAGTTCATATGTGAGAAACGCTATGAGCTAGCCGGGAACAAGTACGCCACCTGCCGGGATAAGAAATGGGATGTACCTATACCCGTCTGTATACGTAAGTTGGACGAATGGACGCTATTTGATAAGTTGATTGATACTCTATTACATAAAAATCTTCTTAACAAATAATTCAATAAAATTTATATAAGTACATATGGATTAGTATTAATAGTAGTAATTAATAACTCACACACACACTCACATACACACACACACACACACACACATAGAAAAAAGTAGGTGCATACAAATTGTTACATATCCATGAAGACGAAAAAGCTAAATATGTATAAACATATCCATTCACTTATTAAATCATTGGAGATGTCATCAGAATTGGTCATTTTTCTATAATTTTCTAGGACCGGGATGTACTCTTCCGAATTTTGAGAATGGTATCCCGATCCCCACGAGTAACGGAGCCTGGGTGACACACTTCTGTCTGCCGGGGTACAAGCTGGTGGGGTCGTCCGTCATTTACTGTGACGGAAGACAATGGAACGCCACACCTCCCATATGTATCGGTAATTAAACTATATGAATATTAAAAAGACCATAAATTGTGTTATACTTGGGTTGCTTCGGTATAAATTTTTTTCACTCTGGTTTCCCTTCAAAACGTATAAATCTTTCGCCTTTTAACCGGTATAAATTTTTCTCACCGTATTGAATATTATAAATTTTCTATACATAAAAGGTTGTGGTATTAAATATTATAAATTTTCTTCTTTTAGGTATGGAAAAACTGTTAGAGTTATATAAAATCCTCATTCTGAGGATTTAAAGCAAATTTCTCGTAGATCGAATTCAGCGCGCTTACTTTCAGAGAGTAAAATTAGTAGTTCGACGTTTAGTTTAGAGTTGGGATAAGATTTTATATAAAATTTTATAGTGTGAGAGGCCTCTTTTTCTGCAAAAAGTCCCGTATTATTGATATGCTTCATACGTTAGTATTTCGCCTCAGTTTTGTCTGTTTTTTATCATATTATACAGGGTGACTGGTGAATTACTATCAATATTTAAGGAGCATACTCAGTACATGATTCTCATTCGAATTATGTAAAAAAATAGGTACTTAATTTTTGACCAAATTTCCGTATAAATAAATAAAGTGTGTACACGTTCCAAGTGTTCCGCCGCGCGCGAGTGTGTGTGTGTGTGTATACCTAATCTGTAGGGTGTTCATACGATGCGTAATTAATTACATAACTTTTGGTTAACTTTACTTAGAAGTTTATTAATATTTATGTTATATTAATTTTTATTTTGTCATATATGATCGTCAAATATCACGTTCTCAAATATCGATAGTAATTCACCAGTCACCCTGTATATTAGAAATTATTTAATGCAAATAATATTAAACTAGTATTGCGTGTTTGTATATTTAATAGTGTCCATATTGGCGCGATGCATGGATTATTTTTAAGTTTAATTCTATAAAAAAATATCGAGATATTTTAATACTTAAAATAATTACCAAAAAACTACTATATCTTTTGGTTACTTATACTGAAGTATACTTAAAAAATGTCTTACATATGTAATGTTAACTTGAGAATAAACATTAAGAGAATTAAATTTCAAAGAAAAATTAACATTTCATAATGTAACAGCCATTGGAATACTAAAGTTCATTATTCACCTCTTGACACTGACACTGCATTATATAGGTACGTTTTATTTTAACGAATACAATAACGATTTCTTCTTTACTTATTAAGTCGTACTAAGATGTTATATTCTTAATTTTAAAGTTGTTTCTGCTTGATTGATATCTAAGACTTTTAAGAGTATTCATTGAAATAAAAGGAATATTTTTCAGATTAACTACGCGTTATTTCATTATTTTTTAAACGATATATAGACATTTTAGTTACTTTGCAGCAACGGTGAACACGGATGGACGAGATGAGACTTTTGACTATAATTATGAACCGTAGTGAATCCGAAAAATATTAGCTTTATTTCAATGTTTCAGCTTCTTTTCTTTTGCTCCATTCAATTGTCACATAAGTTTCAAATTCAGTACCAAAGTTAGATAAAAAAAAACATTATCAGTAAAGAGATTGTTCCACGACAAGGAATGTGTAGGTAGTTGATGATAAAAAAATAATATAATAAGAAAAATATCAAGGACATTTATCCTGCAGTTGTATACATGAGAATACCGTTGCATTCAAATGTACTCATGATATTTATCACAAATCAGATTCTACAGAAGATAGTTCGCCAGCATTAAGCTGTGACTTCGAGGATCCAGACCTTTGTGGTTGGACCCAGGACGAGATGCACGACTTTGATTGGACCAGGTTAAATAAAAAGACTCCTAGCTCTTTCCTCTTAACCGGACCTTCATACGACCACACCCTCGGGAAAAACGGTTCGGGTAAGTTAAAACAATACAATGATTAAGTACGGATTTAAAACATAATTATTTCATTTAACCCAATAAAAACTTGGCAGAACAAATTCTGTATTGTTAAATATCTTTAAACATTCATTAATATAAACATTAACTTGACAGACGACATTACTCATGAGAAAAAACAATAATAACTTGACCTTCTGCGGTTTGAATTAGTGATCTTTTTTAAGAGTTTCATTATGAAATATAATTTACGCATCATTTTTATTTGGACAAAATATAAGTATAGTTATTAAATTGTACTTCAGTGTGGGTAAATGATTAATTTCTAACGAAAATAGGCCATAATCTCTGTATATAACATCACCAATCTTCCTGTTGTCATCATCATCATCATTTTTTCCATCACCAGGTTACTACATGTACATTGAGAGTACATCACGTCTCAAGAATGACACAGCCAGGTTCATGTCACCGGTTTACAGCCAGAGGCTATCTGACGACGGGTGCTTCTCATTCTTTTATCACATGTTCGGCAAGTAAGTTCAGTTTTACACTTGTATATTATAGGACTGTTTATTTAAATTAGGTTTGACGACTAGTTTCCGAATAAACATTTCTTTATGAAGATAATCTATTAAAGACAGTATCGAATGTAATGTATTTTAGTCCAAAAGTAAGCAAGGTGTTCGTAAAAATAATTGACGATTCCTCTAGAGGACCAAATCTTCAGAACACACTTATATTTTCTTAATATCTTACAGTAATTGTGATTGTATAATATACAAACATTATAAATAATATTATTGAAGTCAGTGGTGGCCTAGTGGTTAAAAAGGGCCGCCTCTAATGCATGACGGCGCGGTTCGATCCTTGCCCGGGCAAGTACCAATGTGATTTTTCCGAGTCATATGTACTTTCTAAGAGTATTTAGCCATCACTGATTAATGCATTCCCAAAGAAGGTTGATATCAGGCAGGCGGGCCGGTCGTAAAAAACAATTAGTCAAAACTACATATTTACAATATGTTCTGTGGAAGAGAAGAACATGTTGTGCCGACCCTACATAAAATGGTATCAGGGCAGTATCTACGTACTTTAATATAAAATTATGTATAAAATAATATTACTCTACTTATATATAATATAAAATTCTAATTAATATTAAATATACAAAATGATATAAACATATCCACAGATCTAATTTAAAATTGATGTGTTCAGGCGGGTTTTAAGTTTCCGGTTTTAAATCTAAATGATAAATCATTTCATTTTAAAACAAACAATTAAAAACGTAGATTACATTACATTTAATTGCAATAAGAGCTAACTTAATTTTTTTTTGGTCATCTTTAACCTAATATATATCGGGTTGTATCAATTAATAAATCAAAGAAAGAGATTCTTATAATCAAATCCATTACTTTTCGCTTAATTACATCATTAAGACTATACAATACGAACCTCTTAAACTTGTTTATCCATAACAGTAATATTTACAGACAAAATCGAGACAAAAATTCTATTGAATTCTATACTTTCACGTTAGATTCAGGAAATAGAGCTCGACTAATGATTCACTCGGTTCATAACTTACGAGATTGTCATAAAAACTTCTACTAAGAGGAATTCACTTCCCAAAACGATCGGAGTATCTAAGGCCGACCTTGGCGCGGTGCCATGGAAGTTTAGATGAGCGAGGAGTATCTGCAGCAAGAACTGACTTCAACTTATACGAAGATACGATAAGAAAAAATACTGTTCTTTACAGTTGAGAGAATAAAATCAAATAACAAAGATTATACAGTTTATTAGTTACATTTTTTATGCGGCTTAGAGAAAAAAACATATAATTTGTAAATATAAATTTATGTATATTATTTTTAATATTATGTGTGTAGTAAAATAAGTTGTATGAATGAATGAAATTTAATTATTAGATTTGTGCCATAAATACTTTAAATTTGGTGAACTTTGAAGTATCTTTCGATATTTTATAATAACGAATCGTTTTAGAAAAAGTGTGATTTTATCAACTATAGGGAATAAGGTTATGAACTGTAATGTAAGGAAAACAATTTAAATATTAAGAAATCAAAATAAATAAGCAAAGAATATAAAACAAAGCGATTGACACTTCAGAAAATTGTGAACAGTAAGTACAAATATTTGTCTCATAAATAAAAGTAGTGACGAAAATCGGACACCAAAGATAACCGTAGTGAATTCGTTTCAGCAATTTTGTAACACTGGATACGATTTAGCCAATAAATACAAATCCATAAAACTCGGAAAACTTAGCGATTGGGAACAATAACATATATGAGAAGAGAAATAATCCGACATCCCGAAATGACAGACATAATGTATTGGCAAAATATTTTACTTGGATACGTCAATATATAATAAAATCTACAACTATCTATATTTGTATTACTTTAAAAACTTTCTGAAACAAAATATTGGTAGGCGTGTAGAAAAACGAAGTATTATTTTTAGGAGAGAATTTAAATTTAGGGCTGTGAAGTCTGCTTTTGTTTTATGACTTAGTCAATTGCTCAGCTATGTTATTAGCAAAACATTGCTACTTAACAGAAAATCATGCATATCGAAGAAATGTATTTAGATCAAGTTTTGGGTTTCAAAAAACAGGGATTGAACACTTTAAAGTATCTACAGACACACTTATCTCTTGATACGTCACAAATTTTTACTCTTGTTCATGTTAGGTGCGATGAATTACACATTGTATTTATATACTACACATTGTAATTAGTATATAAGGATATTATAAATAATAGTATATAAGTTTATATATACAAGTGGATATATCCATTTAATTTATAACTAAAGTACTGATCAAAGATTGTTGTATAGTTATATGCCTAGTTCTCATATGCATCATTACTACACAAAAGGTGTAATGTTATACATCGATTATAAAAGAGGGGTGTCATAAGATTGACACCGATGTCCGTGTGTGTAAGAGTGTCTGTCTGTCACAACACATCTCTAACACATATAGAACGGTTTCGATGTAGTTTTTATATGTAATAGCCAGTTTACTTTATGTATTTTACAGCTTCTAGTCTTCAGTTATGTTTGTTTAATATCGTTCCAGTATTGTAAATGTTATACTCTTACAAAATGATGTAAGACATTTTTAAAGTATGATAACTAGATTAAGACCTTGACGCTTTCAAGTATGAAAGTAAAAATCTAAATTTTTTTTTATATACATAATAATTTTTCTATGTAGGTATAGACACTAAATAGTCTTAATCCATCCCAAAAATGTCGTCTTAAGTGTAGGTGGAGGTTGAAACCCATAGAGACATTCTAAGAGCATGTAAAATTCATAAGATATAAGAAGTGTGACGTTCACAAAAATAAATAAAATAAATATATTCTTATTGAAAATTTGCTATTTTTAATAAAAAAAATCAAGACATAAATATTACTTTCTATATTTAGATTATTATGTATTAGTAATAATTATCCAAATTCATTTTTATTAGTAGCTTTATTAACGTCTAATATCCTTTGATTGTTTGTTAAACTTTAGAAATAAATATGAAACATTATAGTTATATTATATTATTATACTTTTATACTCAATTTGGAAATCTAAAACAAGTTATTATCAAGGCGAGATACGAGTGTAGTAAAGATAGGTATAGTCAAAATATCTCACACCATTTTTATTACGAGTTATTTAATAAAATGACTTCATAACAATCAAACTGTCAGTTCCATAGTTTCAACAGAAAACGTTACGTCTTTATATATTAAAAACATATTGAGTGTAATCTGGGGCCGTCAGAATCAGACACCGGAATGATCGCTACTAAAGTTATGTTACGTACACTTACAAATTAAATAAGTTACATAGTACGTTTAGTTCTCATATAAACAATATACATATATATAACAATTTATATAACAGATCCAAAAAGATTGAGTTAATATATTTTATGAGAAAATGTATTTGATAAATATCATATTTAATTAAAGGTTAGTAAATGACTACATATTATGTCATATTGTATAAAAATAATTCCCAAGATTAGCTAGGAACTTTTAGTTATGGAACTTTTAGTAATAATAAAAAAAATAAACAATTAAGAATCTTGAAAAATAATGGTTTCTATACATATCAAAACATATCTGTATTGCTCAAAAATGAAAGAAAAAATAATAAATTAATGATCAATAAGTATTATTACTCTCCTGACGGTACTTATTATATTTCATCGCGTCATATTTTACATATACGGTCAGTGTGTTTAGTACCGGCTTGCGTCTTCAGACTACACACGGAGCGTTAACAGTATTTGATTAATAAATCTTCGAACATTGAAGTAATAACGTAGGTTATTGAATGACACGGGAAACGTTTCGTTTGTAGTATGATCCAAACTAGGACTAAGCGTCGAGATAACGTTGTTTTGTTTATTATGTTTGTGTAAAATTTAAACTTATTCATCAGTTGTAATAGGTAGTATATTATAATTTAATATTTCATATACGGTCATTTTTATTACTCACACTATTTAACGTCTTTGATTTATTAAAATTTGTTTCAAATTTTGCTTTCGTAGTATATATTATGTACTATTGCAATTATGTACAAGGTGTTTCTTGTACTATACTATATCATCTTCTACCTGGAAATTTCCCTGCTTTAGCCAGGGTCTGCCTTACATGTTGTGAATAGATTTAGTTAATTTTTTTTACGACCGGCCGTCTGCCTGACACCAACCCTATTTGGGAATGCATTAATCAGTGATGTCTAAATACTCTTAGAAAGTACATATGACTCGTAAAAATCACATTGGTACTTGCCAGGGCCAGAATCAAATCGGCGCCCTGGTGCATAAGGGGCGAGCCTTTTAACCACTAGGCCACCACTGACTTTTTTGTGCTATACTATATATTCGATAAAATTTTCAGTTATTACAGAAAATTACGTAATATTTAAATGTTTTGAGCCATACCTAACACATTAAATGATTATAAACATAACACATAATAATTAGATATCACGGTTTTAGAAATCATTTAGTTTTAAAAAATTGTTCCTATACATTACAAATACATAATTAAGTTAGCCACACAATGTTAAATATACGTATTGGATACATGATACCTTTATTAATGAAACGCTTATTGGTTTGGACGGACCTGCCGTAATTATAATCTGAAAATTAATATCACAATTAATATTAAACGACTATTGATTTACCAATATTGATACAAAACATTGACCAGGAACAAACTTGTTTTTACACGAAGTGAGATCCGTGTGTGCTTATCACGGATAATAATAATTTAACCAATTTAATGTATGTACTATATTTTCAGTTTATAGGAGTTAATAACGAATTTTTTCATACTTTAAACTCCAAGAAGTCCTCTAGGACAAACTATTAGTTTTTTAGTATATTTATATAAATATATGGAGATAATTTCTTTATTTATAAACCCATTTTGATAAAAGTATATAATTTCATTAATTACATTCCATACACGATAGGTTCTGTAGATGTGCAGATTGCTAAGATTTCGTACATCTGGATCCTAAAGAAGGAAAAAAACACAATCTTTACTTACAAAAATATTTTATTTTTCATTAGACATTCATAAACTGTAATGATTGTTTGCAGCACGATAGGTGGTCTACGTGTGTACCAGAAGCCTGACAGCCTTCCAATGGCTGTGTTACTCAACTTGAGTGGTCCCCAAAGAGATCAGCACATATTGTTTGAGAAGTGGGGCAACCAAGGGGACCAGTGGTACAACTCAGTATCAGATTTAAGGAATCTGGGGGAAAATTTCCAGGTATACTTAAACTGGGTTTTTTTTATTTAAATAGTAATTATGTATTAAGTCCATATAGACCAGGATACACCTGCGACTCCAGAACTTATACAGGTGGAAATCAAAATACCCGAGATTGAAATAGGAATGCTGCTCATTTCGTTGAATTTTTCATTCAATTCCCACTTTCTATCTAAGATATTAATTATAATAATATAATGCAATACCAGGATTCATTAAAAATCTTCCTAATTAGACGTGCAAGTTTGATATTAAACAAAAAATTTCACTAGTACTATTTATTTTATTAAGAACTATACTTCTAAGTATGAGATAACTCAAAGAATATTCTCATCATCATCAGATCATCATAGAAGGTATCCGTGGGACCAGCTTCACCAGTGACATAGCCATCGATGACGTCGCTATACTCCAAGGAGAAAACTGTACAGCCGCTAAGAACAGGGCCACTACACCTTCTACAGTATACATGCGTGAGTTTAAATTTAAATGATTCTGGGTGATGATATAATGACACACAAATCCACACAATGTAGCTTAAACCCATTTGAGAATATATTCCTATGAAGATATTGGTTTCTTCGAAATATTTCTATTTGCAAACCACACATGTAGGTACACTTTAATATGTTTGTGCATGATTACACTGAATCCTTGTCAATTTACAATGGTCTTTTCGTTACTTATTATTATTTTGGAAGCATCAGTCTATGTACTTACATCTGCAACACAAACAATACTCTTGCTACACACACAAACACACCTATCAGACATTCCTCAAGTACTTTACACAAAACATTTGTCATTGATAACAATGATTAATGAGAGAAAAATCAGTTTAAAAGTGGGGTTATTAAATGCTAGATCCTTAAATACCGGACAGGATGAACTTCTAGTTACGGTTTCCAAATATAGACCAGACGTCCTAGCTATTAATGAAACATGGCTTAAAAAGGGAGAAGAATCGCTGGCACCGGTAATACCTGACTATAAATTCATCCATAAGGCTAGAACATACAGAAAAGGTGGAGGAGTTGGTTTTTATATCAGAAGAGGTTTAAAAACAAAGATCATGCAACATCCAGTCTCAGATCTCGAACAGTTGTGGCTACAGGTACAGTTACCGAGTTCAGTAATGTCTTTGGGTACAGCTTATAGACCAGAACTTGTTGGCGTTACGGAGACACTTGATGCTCTCAGTGAGTCACTTAACGAAATTTGTCGATGTGATGTTGCTTGTATATTGGGCGATTTGAACATTGATGTTTCAAACTCTGAGGCTGCGAAGACGAAAGAGTTGTCGGATTTCTGCCATCAACATAACTTACATCAGATAGTTAAGGAACCGACAAGAATCACCGATAACACGCAAACCATATTGGATCTAGTCTTATGTGACGCCCCATCAAAATGTAAGAAGATAGAAGTCATTCATAATCGTAGCTTGAGCGATCACGCTTTGGTTTTGGTGGAATTTAAGATTCCTAAAAATAAATACATAAAACAAGCTAAATTCCTTCGAGCTATAAATAAAATTCATAATGAGGTATTCATACATGATCTGAATTGTATTCCCTGGGACTCTATATTGACTTTAGATACGGTAGACAAAATGGTTGAAACGTTCAACGAAGAGCTCATACAGTTATTCAATATTCACGCTCCTATTCGAAGAATTATTATTAAGAACAAACCAAAGCCATGGATCACTAGTATGGTGAAATTTATGATGACTCTACGGGACAAAGCATTAATCAAAGCTCAAAAGTATGGAAGAGACAGCTCTAAGAACTATTATCGACAGTTAAAAAATTTTGTAACCGCGACAATACAAAGGGAAAAAACAGCGTATTTCAATCATTTCGTAAATGACAACATCAAACATCCCTCTGTACTGTGGAATAGCATAAAATCAACAGTGCAAATAGCTGGCACCAATAGAAACCCAATTCCTGAACACCTAAATGAACCTGACAAAATAAATGACCACTTTTTGACCTTACCGGTCATCGTTAACACTCAATTGCCCATTAATACCCCAACAATTAAAGACCAATTAAAAAATAATGAATTTACACTGAAGCCGACATCAGAAGACGAAGTCCTAAAAATCATAAGGGGCATTAAAACTAGAGCAGCAGGTTATGATGGAGTTGACATTGAGATGATACGGTTAACTCTTGAAGCAACCCTTCCAATTATAACAGGTATTATTAACAAATCAATTGTTACCAACACCTACCCATCATGTTGGAAAACAGCATTGGTAAAGCCTATCCCTAAAAAGGACACAATTGTACAACTCAATGATCTACGACCAATATCCATATTACCAGTACTATCAAAAATATTAGAAAAAGTTGTACTTAATCAAGTATCGACTTATGCAGAAAATAAACTTATAATCCCAAAATTTCAGTCTGGATTTCGAAAAGGCCATAGCACTGAAACTGCTCTTCTTAACGTCACAGACGATATAACTCAAGCTTCTGATGAGGGCATGAGTAGTATCCTTGTACTGTTGGACTACTCTAGAGCTTTCGATTGTCTGCATCCAGAGCTACTCTTGTCAAAATTAAAACAATACGACTTTTCAAACAACACCTGCCAATGGTTCAAAACATTTTTAACAAACAGACATCAAATAGTGACTACGGAGAATGCTGATGGTTCTAAGACGTTCTCTACTAAGAGATTAATCCCGCGTGGTGTGCCCCAGGGCTCCTTGCTAAGTCCAATACTCTTTGCCATCTTTACAGCGGACTTAACTCATCAAATTAAACACTGCAAATATCACCTCTATGCAGATGATACCCAAATATATTACTCTTTCGACTGCAATAACGTTCAAACCATACTGGACGCTGTTTCTAGAATTAACAGTGACCTCGACAGTATCAACACCTGGTCTCAAAATAACGCATTGGTCTTGAACCCTCAAAAATCATCAATGTTAATATTGGGTACAAAAAAGCAAATAAAACGCGTGCAGGACGCGGGGATCAAGCTCAAAATAAACAACGTTGAAATCCAACAGAATTCCTCTGCACGTAATCTTGGACTAATTTTGGATACGGAGCAAAAATTTACAGAACACGTAAATAATAAAGTTAGGACGGCATTCATGAAGTTGAAGACTTTGTACAAAATAAGGCCATTCATCAAGGAAGACATTCGGCTGCTACTGTGCGAATCTCTTGTTCTCTCACAACTGAGCTACTGCAGTACAGTGTATGGACCAAGACTAAATACTAAGGCCGAAAGATGCATTCAACGGGTTCAAAATGCCTGTATCCGTTTTTGTTATAGCGTCCCAAAGAGGGAACACATTACTCGGTATCTTAATCTTAAGGGAATTCTTAACATGACTTCAAGAAGAGAACTCCATTATGCCTGCACAGTTCACAGAATTGTATGGAACAAAAAACCAGAATACCTGTTCGAAAAATTGACCTGGCTTGACGTGCATTGCTTAAGAACCCGTCGCTTTGGCGTCCAAAACTTACTCAAAATTCAAAATCATAAATCGGCAAGGTATAGAAGCTGTTTTAGGTTTTCTGCAGCAAAAATATGGAATGATCTACCTCCACCACTTAGAACAAAGTGTAATACAGAGTCTTTTAAAGGCAAATATAAAACAACCCTGCTTAAAAAACAACATGCTGCAGAAAATGTTAGACACGCATACTACAAATGCCTGCCGCTAAAAGAATTTTGGCAATATTAGGATTACCCCCTTACTTCTCCAATCACACACAAATACACATGCACACATATACTCAGACACACATTCACACATTTACATACACACACACACACACACACACACACACACACACACACACACACACACACACACACACACACACACACACACACACACACACACACACACACTCATGCAAGAGTACTTGTACATACTGCAGTATTTTCTAATGATAAACTTTATTTCTGTTTTGATTAAATTTACTTCTTTTTTTATAAGTTTTGCTATCACCATTTATTTGTAATTGCTTTTTTCCAACGTTTGTAAATTATAATTATAATAATAGTGGCGGGGGTAGGATAATGTTACTCCTATTTGAAAAATTTGTAAAAGGGACTGTCTGAAAACCAGCGTTTCCCAGGGCCACGGTCCAGAGAAACATGCAGCTGAGACAGCTCCCATTGTCTGCATAAGCATATGTATTATGTTTTCTTTATTCTATCCCTGTGTTTCAATGGTTCTGTGTTTCTGACAATAAACGGATTTATTATTATTATTATTATTATTATTAATATGAATTCACAAAATTAAATTTCAATGTTTTTATTCATGATTTATTATTAGTATTAATTTAACTATTTACTGACAACCACCTCTCTTAAGCTTGAATAAAAGAATAAAAGAGTAATTAATTTAAAACTAAATTGATTGAATTAATAACAGAAAAGGTATTTTAGGATAATGAAAATTACAATGATTAGACAGAAAGAAAATTATTAACAAACTAAAGTATCCTTCAACAAACTGTCTACTATTTTATACTCATAAATGTATGTAGTTCTCTAATTCTAGTAGTACCGTATGTTAAATCAAGATCTTTATACAGCGGAGTCATGCCAGGGTCGATGTATGGAACCCTCGACCACTTTGTGTGGCTGCACCTACATCTGTCTCACTGAAGAAGACTGCTGCCACGACTTCTTTGAACTCTGCGTCTTTAAGCAAGGTTAGTTCATCTAAATTATAAGTTTAACAAAATCAGGCACTATATCTAAGTTCGCCCTTCATAAACTTTATATAAATAATGTTAAATCTATGTAAATGAAACTAAGGTTTTCGGTTAAGTGTGTACACATTTTTATATCATCTGTCCGTAATCACGGTTGCTATAAAGGAACCGAAACGTTGTGACCTTATAAATATAAAATAACAAAAATCGTGTAGAATGGGAAAAACGTAGTCTCATTTAAATGAGTACACAAAAATCCTAGATAACAAAATGGTAAATCTGTAATATATATATATATAGTTAGAGTTTCATTTCAAAACAGCTGGTTAAAATTAAATTGAATAAAATAAATATTTTTTCTAATAGTTAAGGTTGAAATCAAAGATAAAGTTTATTTTCCTTCACAGATTTAACAACAACCACAGACGATATTGTGTTGGCGAACAGTTCGTATGACAGACCACAGAAACAGAAACTGATAGCATCTCCCCCAGACACTACTTTAAGTACAACTACATCGACTACTTCTACCACAACTACCACAACTACAATGAAGACTATCCTCACAACCACAACTACAACAACACCCAAACCTACAACTACTCCCAAACCTACAACTACTTCTACATCTACAACAACTACTACTACTACGACTACCCGTAAACCTACAACTGTTGCTAAAACTACAACAACATCAAAACCTACAACAACTAGAAAACCTCAGCCCACTACACAGAAAACCACAACAAAAGCACCCAAACCAACCAAACCGAATAAACCCGTACCAACAACCAACAAACCTAAACCCACTACCATCAAAACTACTACTACACCATCAACAACTACTTCTACTACAACTTCTACAACTACATCAATCCCTACATCTACTCTCCGAGTAACTCCTCTCCTAGAACATGGAATATCCAGTACAATAGAAAACCACAACCTAAAGGCTAAAAAGGAACAAGAAATAGAAGTCAGAAGACTCCATAGTATGAACAAGGGTAATGTATAACATTAAATAAACAGATACTATATATAATTTTACTTTAATATACATATTAAACAGAAATATATTGGAATAGAATTATACTGAAAGTTAATAAATAGTACAACACAAAAAACTTCTTTAAACAGTCCGGGTTATAAGTATTATAAAACGCAAAGAATCATTTTATATTATTACACATATTAAGAGCAAAAAACATGATAATGATTTTAGAACATTCTAGATTATCCGCGTTGATTAATGTGTTATTTACAGAACAAAGTCACTCATCAGGCTGGAGGGTGGTCCTTATAATACTGGGTACTATAATATGTGTCGGCGTCGTGTCGTGGACGGTAGTCGTGTCGCGCTCGGCCCGGGGTCGTCTCGTGATCTCCAGGCTCAGAGGTCGCTGTAACCAAGACCCAGAAGTTAGATATCTCTCCACGGATGTTGATGATGATTAAATGATATCGTTTTGATAACACTCTTTCATTTTGTGTGTTAAAAATGTATGAAGCTATTGATGACAAGTCCTCACGTGAACCTTAAGAGGATTGTAGACATTTATCTTGAATTAGAAAATTGTTCTTAAAAGAAAGAAGTTGCAAATTTGTAAAATATCAGTGCTAATATCTGAATCCCTTATACGAGTATTGTGAATTTTGATATGTCAAACTTAATTTTGCAAGTTTCAGCGAGTTTCGTGAGGGCAAGTCAATATCATCACATATGATGATTAATGAAATAAAACTTAGGAAACTGACTGTTTTTATGTTGACAATATGACCTTTTATAAGATTATATCCTAAAATAAAAAAACAATAATAATTAAAGTTCTGAGGTACATATATACGTTAACTTTATATATAAGAAAATTACTTAACATTTATTATTGTACAGTAATAAATTTCAAATCAAAAAACTTTACAGTTACTTTAGAAGTTCCTAAAGAATTTCATCTTGTGCCGTTGCTGTTTTTTATATTTATAAAGGACTAAAATAAGAACAACACATTTTAGGTTTTTGATTATGACTTAAAAGTACTACCAATGCAGATTTTACAGTTTCCACTCTACTAACTATATTTGTTTGAAAGGGTAATAAATAAAATTTTGATTGTATTTTGGGTAGGTCACACTCTAAAACATTGTTTTTACAAAGCAAGTAAACCTTCTTAGTGTATTTTTTTATATAGCAACTCATTTCCTTACATGGCAATACAGCAGGCGGGCTAATTTAAAACCGTGACCTCGATTTAAACTATTACCCCGTTCCCACAATGTCACCCGGCATGGAGGCACGCGTTATCGACCCGCCAGTGTTTTGCGCATGCGCCAAATGTATGCGGTCTTATGACGTTTGCCTAGAAGTCAGAACTCAGTCGAACGGCGAGCGCGTCCCCGCAACTGTAAATACAAAGTCGGATATTATATATTTATATAATACATCCGATACGACTGCTATGACTGCGGATATCTGTGATTAAGTCTGTCGGTAAGTTGTCAGTTATATCAAAATTTGTTTGTATTTATTATGATTTTTAAATGTTTTGCTATCAACTTCGCCCTTACATAAACATAGCTTCATCTTAACACAACTATACTGAAAGTTACATCCATATATGTATATATATGCTGTGTGCATGTGTGTATATAGTATGATGGATGTGTGAGTGTATTTAGAACTAAATACTAGAGATCTTTGTCATCTTCAATTTCCCATATAATTTATGAAGAACAAACGGTTTTTGATTGGCGATTTCTTGTTTATGGTGTTACGTCATGCCGGTTATGGGTTGACTTATGGTGTTTAACTTATTATGTATGTTATAAAAATAGATTATATATATTATATAATATAGTATATATGCAGATGATCAATACATATTAAAGGAAGTCTTGTAAGTCATGTATTAAGATTGAGAAACCTCGCTAACAACGGGTCACTAAATACGTATTTATTTGACGTTGTTATTTATATATTTTATTTAGTAAAATAATACTTATAGGTAATTACATTACAAGTTCTATATCGACTGAACTAGCAGTTTTTAACTGTGTATGTTTGTACGAAAAAGTATAAATAACTTCAACTCTTTCTACTATACAAAATATTGGTTCGAAATCGAATTCGATGTTAAAAATTATTGTCCGGGATAACGGTATTTTATAAAAGTTATAAACTTTTTCTCAATAATCTAAAACTTTATACAAAATTCTTTAAAATAAAAACTACACACATAATTAAATCTAAAGTTTTAACTGCATTGAACTTCTTGAATATGTCCGTAGAACTTCGTCGCTCTATAGATGTACGGAAACATTTACAAAAAATAAATTATAAATATAAATCTACAATAATTAAAAGTTTCACAGCGACTTCATTTCCCGTGATTTCATGCAACAATTTTGTATTACAGTAACATTTTTATTCAATATTAAAAGCAAATCCGTCACAAAATGTTTCAGTTATTTTCTTTAACATTTATATATAACCCGATATATAAATATGATCAGTTTCAACAAACACACGGAAGGACATACTTATATCTCATTCTCCACTTCATATGAAGTATCTTTTTACGTATCTCTTCTCAACATCACACAATAACCAAAAACTTAACATTTAACTCCTATATCTACTACATATATACATAAACTAGCTTTCCGCCCGCAGCTTCGCCCGCGTAGAGTTCGGTTATATCGCGTTTCCAAGAGAACCTTTCAAAAGTCTGAGATAAAAACTATTCTATGTTCTTTCTCAAGGTTAACTCCATCTCTGTACCAAAATTTCATTAAAACCAGTTCAGTGGTTTAGGCGTGAAAGCATAACAGACAGACAGACAGAGTTACTTTCGCATTTATAATATTAGTGGGGATATATACAAGATAACAATATAAGACATTAAAACTATCAAAAAAAATCAGAAAGTTTAGTAAATCAATTTCAAAAATCGTCTCGAAACTGATCTTTACGAGCAGGCGAATTTATAATGAAACTCCTTATATATTAAGAACAATTAATTTTCATTGAAAACAACACTAACGAGGTTATTTTCTTTTTTTTATTTCTATAATATTTAAATATATTTAACATGTTATCTTAATGTCAGGAAGCCATTATCGGAGACAAAACTATTTATATATAGAAATGACGAACTTGACAACTAATAATTAAATGTTACTGTTGGTTAACGATAGAAAATTAAAAAACGGAAAGCCATAGCATTAATAATAAATAAATGAAACTTAATATTACCTTTGCAAAATAAAAAACTGTTAAAAAAGGTTCCTTTTTATGTATTGCGGATCCCTAAAACAGATAACAGAAAAACTCCTACACATTTTTTTAGCTGGTAACATAATGAATTATTCTTTTTACTTAACGAATATTGTACAACTTAATTTAATCGCTGAATTAGTCTCTTTGAGTTCATCTTCAATTTAATATTTAAATATCTTTTTGTTTTAATGAAATTATGTTAATATATTAAAGATCAAAGATTATCGATACTTTTATGTTTTAATACAATGAAATAGATTTAATTTTACAACGATAACAATATTAATAAAATGAAATATAAACATTCTATATAAGTAAGTATTTTTATGTATATTTATTGAAAATAAAAAAAAACAAATGAATATGTATATTGCAGAAATTGCAAAGACACGCTGCCGTCTTGAACATACATTACTTCCCCCATTCTTCACTTAAAATTACTTTAAGACAATAGTCTTTAATTCATTCGTGAAACGAATTAATATTGTAATGAACCATTTTCTATATATTGAAATAAGTTTACAGATGTCCATGAGAAGAAAACAGGATTAATTTAAATCACTTATCAGACCTCTCAAGTTTAAATTTAACCTTATTTTTTTTTGTTTTACTTTATCAGTTAGATTTTACGATCACTATATCATACAGGTTATCGTTTGTAATTGTTTCATTAAAAGTGACTGACAATGCTTTTAAATTACTAAATAGAAAAACTAGTCTCCAAAATTACATAAATATTGTAAATATGTTGATATTTTAAGTGCTTTCTATTTAAATTAAAAATACATATGTGAAAAATAGATTTTTGCAATATTCCATAGATAGATCAACCAGAAAAACCCCAAAAACTATTAATTAAAACAACAAAAAATTTATAAAACCCACACAAGGGTTGCGTGACTAAAATTTTGGGGAAATACAACTCGAAAGGGTAACGTAATTCATATTTAACATAACTATATTAAGGCTCTACAACAATCTCCTCGATCATATATAATAAAATATATTTTATCATGAAAACTTTGTAAATCAAAATACCTTTATTACTTTACTACTACAACCAGTAAAAACAAATGTACTTATAACATCTTGATGTAGTGAGTGTTTGTGATTCTCAAACATAATATTAAATACACATGAACACTAATAGATTCATACAGAATTCAGCAAAGAAATTCCTAGGAGATAAATAATAACTGTCATATATAGAATTGCTTGACAAATAGTATTTTTACTTCAAGCGAAAGTGGTGATGGAATATAATAAGTCATGAACTCCTTTTAATAAGAATAAATATCTTATATTCCGATGGATACCAAAGAAAATATTGAGTGTTTCAATCGAAACAGTTCCATAGAATTACGGTTCTCCTAACTATGAGTTTGACGAAACTAAAGGGACAAGGTTGTTTTTTAAACTATATACAGATACATATATAAAAATAATGTATTCCTTATTGAAACAAATACATATATACTGTAGTGGTTGCTTTAGAAATGTACATATTGAAATAAGAAAGCGTAGTTGGGATTACAATCTATTCTAAATGAAATATATTTAAATATTTTAAGTATACGGCAATATCAGTGATAAAATATAATGAGAGGTGAATCAGTAAAAAAAGATGTGTCGTCCTTGTTATATATTTAAACGAAAATATTGTAGTTGAAAGAAAATTATTTTGTAATAATTTGAACATTAGTTTCTCTGAGCTCATTGTAGAGACCTCTCTAACATCCTACATTCATCTTAAGAGCTCGGTTTTATTCCTGGAATACATTTAGTTATGTACGTCTAGAATATTATTGAATGTTTTCTTATAGAAAACTTTTTAATGTCCTTTGATGTGTTGGCTATATACCTATAAATCTATTTTATAAGACCATTCATTGTTAGTAATTTATTAATATTATAAAATAAAATAAAGTTAATTAACTACAAGTTACAGAAACTTGTCATCTGACGCTGGTTTTCTTTTCCACTGGTACTAAGTACCAGTCATTAAAAGACATACTACTAATCAAAATTAGTGCCTATTAACCAATAAAGTCTATTCTTAACCCTTAAAAAACATATTCACATAAGTCCAATTAATGTATTTTGAAAATAAATTCCTTTTATTATATTCAAGAAATTTATTAAATATTGTTCAATAAAGTTTCCTTCATAAATCTTCACACAT